AATCAAGATTGCCCTGTGAAGGCCTTTGAACTACAGCTTTGTAATTACATTCTTCAGAGCCAAGGCTGGCACAAGACAGTCTGTCATTCTGGCACCGCATCAAATTTTCTGCCAGGTACTTCAAGCATCAGTTGCTTGCACACAACGTTTCATCACTGCAACAACTGAAACAAACCCAACCTTGTAAGGATGATGAAACAAGTTTTCCGGCAGCACAAAATAAAACCACTGATCTATGTCTTCTAAGAGACACACCTGACTCCTCATGTTTCTTCCCTGTAGCAGTGCTTCCTCGGGACTGAGTCCAGGCTAATAAGCACAGTGGAACTCTAATTAAAGTTTTTGCTGTGCTCAGTTCTGTGCCTCATCTTTGAGGCTGCTCTAGGCTGAAAAATTCTACATTCACACACACACACAAAATACACTACCAGAGCTCCAGTGGATGTATTAAGACAAAAATTTTTTTAAAATCAATAGTCAAAATCCATTGGAAGATATTTTTTCCTACACACAGACAACAATAGTCCATTCTACTGGCTGATTATGCAATGATTACATCTGTAATGACTGGGATTTCTCTCAACATACAAACTCTCATCCAAGAGACACCGTCAAATTCCGGTATTCTCAGCTGTTTGCCATCACTTTTCCCCCTCCCCAAGTCACCTCAGTTGCCAGCCCTGAAAAAAAGGTACCGCAGCATTACAGTGGATCCACTCTGCAGTGACAGTAATTGTGAGAAAGCCTGGCAAACCACATGCAAATTCACCAGAACACCAAAGTTACTACAAACACTTCTGTTAGCTTTCCTACCTGTCCTGGTTTTGGCCGGGATAGAGTTAATTTTCTTTCTAGTAGCTGGTATAGTGTTGTTTTGGATTCAGTGTAAGAAGAATCTTGGTAACACACTGATGTCTTCAGTTGTTGCTAAGTAGTGTTTATACTAAGTCAAGGATTTTCCAGCTTCTGATGCCAAGCCAGCAAAAAGGCTGGAGGGGCTCAAGAATTTGGGAGGGGACACAGCCAGGACAGCTGACCCAAACTGGCCAAAGGGGTATTCCATACCACGTGATGTCATGACCAGTATATAAACTGGGTAGTTGGCCTGGTAGGGATTGCTGCTTGGGACCTAACTGGGCATCAGTCGGCAAGTGGTGAGCAATTGCATTGTGCATCACTTGTATATTCCAATTCTTTTATTGTCATTTAATTATTGTTATCATTATCATTATTAGTTTCTTCCTTTCTGTCCTATTAAACTGTTCTTATCTCAACCCATGAGTTTTACTTTTTTTTTTTCTCCTTATTCTCTCCCCCATCCCACTGGGTGGGGGGGAAGTGAGCGAGCAGCTGCATGGCTGGGGTTAAACCATGACACTACCCCAATCCCTACTTCTAGAAGGCCATGTCATACACACAGTTTGGTTCCAAGATCTTAAGCTCTCCCTGTATATCACATGAGATTCAAATAAAGAATTTTAAAAAAAAGTAATTTAGCCAAACACAAAATTATAGCAAACATTCGATTACTAGTTAACCCTGAAAACAAACATTTCAAAGCAGCAGCTCATCAGTTAAGCAGGAATCTCTGCTATGGTGCGTTCTTCATTCCCCTATGCCACTTGCTAGTCTCCTTGCAGAATAGGCTCCCTTTGAGCTGCGAAGCATAAAGGAAATGGAAATTTCCACTGACAGGTTCCCTAGCTTTTGCATTTTTGCATAATATTGATAGTGCTGCACAACACAGACAAGTGACTGTTCTTTCATCTTACTGTAACAGACCTGCCTCTTTCCAACACACCCAGGCAAGGTTCTTTTCTGGCCTCACCATCGTGACATTTCTTTCATGTTTACCTCAGGAAAATATGAAAATGCTTGGCAAGTCTCTAATTAGGGTCAAAACAAAGCTCTTTTCCCCACATGGCTAAAAATATATATTTAAAAAAATTTAGTAAATTTGCATATCTGTTAGATGCTAGTATAAACTTATCCATATTTTCATTCCAACCAAGGACAGTGGACGTTAGACAATATCCAGAATGCATTAGAAATAAGTCTAATTTGAATAAAGTACTAAAGAAAACAATCCTGTGTTGGACAACAGCAGTTAATGGCCTTGTACTTTCTAATATGTAGGATCATTTGAAAGCAAATGGTTTCAAATGGTTCCTACGAAGTTTGTGCCAGTGCTGTGTTTAAAGAAAGACTTCTTCCTAAATTTAAGACCATTAAATTCTTTCAAGCACTGTAACAAGCCTCTTCTTCTCACAGAGCTTCTAAAAGCAAGTTTGAGATTTTTCACAAGGGAAATACCCACTATAAAGCCATGCATACTTTTTTAAAGCTTGTATATTAATGAATTCATACATAAGCAGGAGCAATGTCCTCCTAAAGCATTCAGAGTGTGATAGTCTGTTGCTCAGAAACTGTGGTAACTCTGTCATGTACAGAAGCTGCAAACCTATCAAAAGAACCATCAAAACACAAGAAAGTACTAAATATTGAAAGAGACAAATAATGTATGAATATATATCCAAATTGTAAAGAATACAATGCCAAAATAAGCCAAAACCAACATTCAGCCACAACTCTACATCTTTAAATTTCCTACTAACTTTGCCAAAGTAATCTCCCATAGGTGTTTTATCAGCAGCCTTCGATCTCCCACTCTGTACACACAACAGCAGAATACAGCTGAATAATGAAGATACTCCCACACTCCTCTCAGAGTAACAGCCCTATTAGAATAATGACTGTTAAAATCACTAAGCAATACCAGGAAGAAGGATAGTCTTATCAGTTAATGGAAGTCAGAAACTTCCAGTTCTCTTCTCACTTCTGTTAGAGGTCTTTGGTATAATGATGGAAGAAGCATTTCATCTTCAGTACATAACTGAAAGAATGAGACTTGCGAGATCATGACAATTAACTTCTACTGCTGTTGATCTGGCAATGTGAACCAAAGCAAAGGCATTTTCAGTGTATTCCATTTGCCTTTCAAGTTGAACCCTGACTGCATCATGTTGCTCCATGCTGTTTAGGTAGGGGATTCAGAGTGTGATCATTGCCCTAAAAACCAAAATACTTCACTTAAAAAAAAAAACCCAAAACAAAAACCACACCACAACTGGTTGGATTTTTAAGCCCTCTCTTCTCTAAAGATCTCTAACAGAGTGCTATGCAGAGACAAGTAACACTGCACTCAAAAGTGGCAATTCTTGTCACTCAAATACCGTCAAGAAGTCAGAGTAACTGAAAGGACCTACCAGTTACACACCGTTATCTACTGCACTATTTGGGGGGAAAGGCAGAGAACTGCATTTAGGCTTCTGAATTATGTATATTTTCAACATATTGTCAAAGTGTTCTGGTAGCCAGTAAAAGCGTGCCACAGGGCTCAACAACAGAACAAAAAGGTACAGACATGCAGAACCAAGGGTATGCAAAGTCATTAAACTGACTCTTCCAGAGATACAACTTCAACTCAGTCATGGACACCATGCATACTACTCTGTGGTCTCTTGATAAAAAGTCTTGGTCAAACATACTTTGAACATAAGCCAGATATAGTATTCACTGAAACCACTCGCATCGCACCAGGAAAACCATCATGTATTTCATTTGACACTGATGCACTTACACATGCTTGTTATCATGCACTTGTACATCCTACTAGCATGTAGAGAACTGTGTGGTATAAAAAGATGGTCTTCAATTGCTGTTATCAACTATCAGGCTGTTGCGATGCTCATTAAACAACCAAGCTGGCAACAGAAACAGAGACTACCTTCCCTCTGCAGCTGCTGTTTTTCAGCTTGCCAGGAAGATAAGTGGTGACAATACTGGCAGAATGGAGACAAAAGGAGCAAAGGCAAGACAACCCAGTAACATTCCAGTGGATCCACTGGTTTTGTTTTGCAAGCCACCTGGACCTCCCCCACCTACAGTCACAGTTCTCAGTCCATCTAATCTATCTACTAAGTACTCTTAGGAAGAGGTCCTCAATAGAGCATGCATATACATGCCCAGGGTACAAAGCATTATCTAATTCCACATTCCAGTCTCATTTTTAGACATCATTTAGGCTTATAAACAGTTACTGCAAATGTGCAAATAGCAACATTAATAAATTACATTAAAAACAAATCAAAAAAATCACACAGAAGCCTAAAAACCTCTGTGACTGGTCTCCAACAGTACTTACAAAATTACTGTTATAAAATAAAACAGAACATAGGCACATACGTATCCGTACTGTCCAAAGAAGTTGATATAAATATTGTCCTTGAAGCTGACAGATCTTTTGCTAGAGTGACTTAACATGTTGATTTTGCAACCTGTGTTTATGCAACCCAATCTGAAAGTTTAACTCATAATACAGCATGGAAATAGAGACTTGTATAAAAGGAATGTGCACTGCCAGCAGTTCTCTTCCTAAAACTCTTCATATCTGAGAGCACATTAAGCATTGCTAGTCAATGTTTAAGTTAGGTGTGCAAGCAATTCAAAACACCTGATTTTCACAGAAAGCACATAATTTTTTACACTACTACTGGATGATTGTATTAATCTGTGTAAGAAAATATATGTAGCATGGCTGTCCTCACCAAAAAAAAAAACCAACCACAAAAAAACCAGCTTGAGAGAACAACAGGCTACTGTAAATACAGCATCTGTCAAAGTTAAATAACTACAGGCTGCATTTTTATCCACTTCATCCACAAACAGTAATTGCTGGCATTAGCAGGAAGTTTTTCCTTCCAAAAAGAATCTACTAGAAGACAATTTTAGTTCTATTTAATGTAGTTTAATCTTGCTACATTTCAAAGCTCATTCTGCTATTAGCGTTCAAAATCAATATAAGTAAAATATATACTTTACTCAGCATAAAGAACACTCATACACAATCTTAAACAACAGTAGAAAGTAAAGTTCAAAGACGAAACTTAAAAACAGATTTGCAGCTATTTTTAACAGAGTGAGGATTTGTATGAACTTACAGTAAGATTCCAGTTGATCTGTGGTATTCTTGTGTGAAGATTTAGACTGAACATAAGCAACAGAACTCCAGTAACCACCAATGCACTACAGCTCACAAACTCAAAGAAATAAAGGCCTTCGCAAGGGGAGCATTCCATGATGGTCTCTATGCAGATGAATGCAATCAGTGCCAAAACCTAGGAAGAAAAACAAGTGGAAAAAATATAAATAGATTTCCACATTTTGAAAGTAGCCACAAGTATTCCTGAAATTTCCATTGGGAACATGATCAGTTTACACTCAGGAATGTGTGATTTTAGTTTATAACAGGGCACTGTCTAAAGAGCAAAAACAAAAGCAAATTAATGCAAGACTTTCTGGAAATCTCCTGTTCAACAAAGTATATTTCAGCAAAATTACACAGAGTCTAACATCAAAATGACTGAGACACCCAGAAAGGCATGAAGCCCCTTCAGGCCATTGGCTTATGCAAACAACACCTCAAACATTTTATTTCATTTTTCACTCATGATATACTATTCCAAAACTTTAAGATGGAATGCATGTGTCTATTGGCCCAACCTCAAGTTAAATTAGATAGTATTAATATAGTGTGATTGTGAAAGACATTACAATAAAGCTATTCTTTAAAATTCATTACCAACTTGGGATCTAAATAAATTCAAAGTAGAATAGATTCAGGATCCCTACCAGCCTCCAAAAATCCAGTTTTCCTGTTTTTTATCATCAATATGCTGTATATCATACAAAAATGTATTTTATCATTCCCTTGTAAGACAGTATGAGCAGCTAATAGATGAAGGAAGAACTCCTGGTGCTGCAAATGCATACATCTAACTGGGATAATGGTTAATCACACTAAATTCAGAAGCTATCTTGGTAGAGTTAACACAAACGCAGATTTTTGCAAGACAAGAGTTTAATTTACTATTTAGGATAAAACAGTGAAACTCACTATCCTTAAAAAAATCTGCCCAATGGACAAAACTAAAATATATAAAAACCATACACCATTATTAGCTATCACTGACAGCTACCACTTAGATACCATTAGATACCACTGATTACCTACCACAGAGTATTCAACTTACACATGTAAGTCTACGTTTCAAACTGATTCTTCTTTAAATATAACTGGTAAAAGAAAAACAGTTGCATGGACAGTTTTGTTTTGGTTTTTGTTTTTTTTTTAATTTTCCATGGCAAGCAAGGAAGGCCTTAAGAGTGTTTTGCTTTGGTTTTCAAGACAATACCACCACCCCCCACCCACTTACATTTTTCAGAAGGAATTCACTTTTTTTGCTCTGCCACAAAATTCTAACGAGACTGTAGTAAGGCACTTCAATTTGAGGATGAAGAACTCTGGGAGATAGCCTCCTCAGAGGTAAATATTCCATAATTTGAAGGTTTTGCACAAACAAAACCCAAGTTTAAAAGATTGACAGAAGCTACAATACAAATCAGTTTCTGCTAAATCCTTCTTCGCCAATTCCAATAATGTTTTGCAGATACAGTTTCTTCCAGCACTTTCTATGCTTCATCCATTAATTTGTCTTTGCCTCCTACAACAAAACTAGCGAAATGAAAAAAAAAAAAGGATTTTGAAAGAAGTTACCATTTTTGTCACCAACATCAGCAGTAATTCTAAGCAAAGGACAATACCCCACATACTTTGTTTGCCACATACTTCAGAATACAGTAGCTAATTTAAGTTTAAAAATTGATTAAAACAAAGCAAAAGTTTTAATCAAAAAACTCACACTTGGGTAGAAAGTCTCTCACAGTTCACTTAGCACGCTCTCTTAAAAAAGAGCACATACCATACTAATTTTTAGCAGCTAATAGAGCAGGCCAATTCACATCAAACAAATTCTGAACAGATACCCAGTGACTAAACACTTAATTTCAGATTTTATCTTTGACATTGAACAGCTTTGGAAAAAAAGAAAAAGAATATGCCATGAAATGGAACATTCAGAAAACCAGAATCAAAGTCAAACTATGATTTCAGCAATGACACACACACAAAAATACTGTCCAGAACACAGTTTCACTTTACAGTATTATCATGTAATGAAGTCCACCTTTTCTGTGAACACAAGCCTCATAACTAAAGATTATACTGAACACCATTTAAAAAAAATAATAAGTAAAGGTCTAAAAAACGTCTTAGCCATTTCAAGCAGGATCAGTACCAACGCTAAATGTTAGCTGGCAAAACTTTGACTTTTAGACGTTGCAATATAATAAAGTCTCCATTGTTCTTGCCACTATTTTTTATATATTATGACACTTCTAAAATTTTTATTCTTTTAAAAATAAATAGTTCTGCAATATTCTCTAGAAATACTGTAGTACAAGCCCAAATAGAATAGGTTCATTTTCTAAAAATATGAACCGCTCTGAATTGTGCCACTAACATTAGGCTGAAGGAGCCAAAAACTGGCACACCAATTGCTGCACTGGGCACCTGCAACGCGGCATGTGGAGTCTCTGCTGTTTTGCTGATAAAAACCTTACATTGACTCTTCTCCATACCAGATAGCGTTGCTTCCTCCAGGCTAACGTACCCATCTTAGTAGTCAAAGCTCAAAAAAGATGAAAGAGTTTCTTGCATACAGCATTAGAAATAAATTCTGTACTGAAGAGGCACTTGGAGCAACGAACTCTTACATACTCCCAAGCTCAGAATTAATAAATTTCAGAGCAATTCTACCTTAAGACTTCATTTTATCCCTTAAGAAATTATACATTTACCTGTGACACACCCTTATAAAAAAAAGTGTTAGTTGTGTACACTTAGGTTTGACTTAACCCAAACCATTTCAAAAGCAAGTAAAGATGTGCCATCAGTTTAAGTAATATGCAGCGGCATTAGTGTACAGTGGTCTGGGTTGTGGCAGCCCACGTCTATTGATATGTTTATCAGAAACACTGGGAAAAAACCTTAATTGCTTCAGTTTATGATGGAGGTTCTGGCCACAAAGCACAGGCTATGTTTTGGAAACATGCACAATAACCGACTACTAATAGGAGTATTATCATGACAGAGTGGATCGGCACACCTGAACACTTGTTGATTGGGAGGACAGCGAAAGGAGAACATTCCCATGCATACAATTATTTGTAACACTTTTGTACTTCAAGTAAGATTCCAACTAAATGTGTTACTATTTTTCTTGCAATAAAAATATATTTCACCCTTCTCAAAGATTATCCATCCTGCCAGTGCTACACAATACCTTCCTGTTAACTGCCCATTATTTGTCTCACGAATGCTATAGCAAAAAATTAAATCCGAATTAATCACCACATCAGAAAAAGCTATCCTCCCACAGAAACCTCCCTTTTTGTAAACAAAATAAAAACTTTTCTTTAATATGAAATATTTTCTCTTTGAAACATCACGGTAATCTTGTCCTCCCACAGATTTATGCCTCCTACAGAAGCGTCCTTCTAATTAACTAGAAGTAATGAGAATCTTCTATAAAAACACACTAGTGCTGCTTTTACTGGCCACTCCATACAGACATTAAGCTAATTTTGTTTCTAACAAAAATGCAAACTACTCTAAACACATGAAATGAAAGTGAAATACATTCTAGAATCAAACCCATTACCTCCTCAGACAGCTACATTACTTAAAAGTGTTGTGTAAATGCTGCAACATGAGCCAAAGCAGCTGGCCAAAGGCCACGGTTCATCCAGTGACCAAGTTCATTAAAAAAAAAAAGTTAACATTGTAAGAAAAATGCTTCATTTTCTCTGCATTTTTAAATTTATGAAGTAAATAATTTATGAGACAGGCTATATAAATTAGGTAGTGAATTAATACAATTTTGCCAGCCAGAATACTACTTGATTGGCATGGCCATAAAGTAGACCGATGTGACCATAAGCGTGCCCCCAGAGTGTGCCACTGCAAACTGCAGGCAGACCAAAAGTCAGTCTTGGTCTCAGCCATCCCAGCCTATTTTCTGAGGGACTTCAGTGCAGGTTCAGCACTAACAATTTTCTCCTGTTCTCTCACAGAGCTCTGTAACTACACTGCAAACATCTTCTCTCTAACCTATGTTTATCTCCATTGCCCATCTACCACCCATCACTGCCTACTGAATTAGCTGATCTACATGCAGCTCACAGCTTACCAAAGCTCAGAGACCTAAGAAGTCACTTCTCCAGAGCTTCTTACGCTCTTCCCTCTGCCACACCACAGGCCCAAGATAAAATTGGTGCCGTGCCTTGCAACATTGGCTATACACACTCTCTTGGGAAGAGGGAGGAAGGACAAAGACCCTCCAGCCCTCCTGGAAGCCTCCACGCTCCATCCAGACACCATTTGAGGGCGCAGAGACCGGCGCTGCCCCAGATGACTGCGGCACAAAGCTGCAGCAGAGAAAAACCCTCACTCCCCAGCTGCTAAAGCTCTGCTTTGTAACACAAGTCACCAATGCAACCTTGGAAAACCAAGACACAGGATCTAGCTAGGCCCACGTCTGCCTCCCATGACTGCAGTTACAGGAATAGGAAAAAAAAAAAAAAGAGAGAGAGAAAAACAACAAACCAAAACAACCACACCAGGATCGTATTGATTGGAGCACAGGTCTCAGCCAACAAAACGCACACTGCCATTTGTCCAGCGTTGGAGGCGACCCTCACTTTGGAGTCACACCTCTCCTCATAGCTTAGGGTGATGAGTTTTGACAAGTTTTTCCACAAGCAGAAGTTTCAAGGTTGGTTTACTGAGGAAAAATGAGAAGCTGAACATGGTGGAGATCTCCTTTTACATGAATTACTGCTCTCTCCCACAAATGACACAGCTACAGCTTTCTTGGGCAGAGTCAACAGAGAAAGTTTCCTCTGATGGATGAAACAAACCTTTTCATCTGTTTTTCTCTGCACTGAGTACTTTGGAGAGTTTTCTATTCCACCCTAATTGCTTCAACACCCTAAGATTTGTATAACTCTCTTTTATTACTATCTTTCTCTTTTTTAACAGTTGTTTTTGATTTCCCTTCTACTTCCACTCTTCTTGAAGTAAGTATAGTGGATATTGCATTGATTTGCAACTTTGTCGTGATGGAAACATCTGCTTATTCTACTGGATGCTCAGGTCCACACAGAGGCATCCTAGGCTACCTGCGATAGCACCTTTTTCTTGAACAAAGGAGATGGG